AATGTGAGAGTTAAATAGACCCATATAAAAATAACCATGCCCATGTAAATAAAACTCAAAAAGTGAACCTGAGCTTTTTTTCATGGTGTTTTTTGGGGCTCCCCTAAAATGGGTCTAAAATCACACCTGGTTAATGGTGGGGTGCCTTCCTCAATGTGCATACGTATCACATCAGTGCATTTTTCACTTGTGCAAAAATAAATGGAGTTGTAAAAGCTTTAGGTGTGTGAAAATGTTTAGAGCTGTTATGTAAACAATATTTCTTGTTTTTTTTGTGTCCATTGTGTTCCAGCTCCACAAATGGAAACTTCTTGAGCGGCATCCCATCCTCCTTCTTGCCAAGAGAGGCACAAATGGTTTTGCGGCCGATTGCCTCTGTCCATGGCAAATTGAGACAGAAGATGGTAACAATGCACTTGTTACCATAAAGAGGATTTACGAAAGCCTTCTTAATGGTAAAGTATAAAAATCCACATGCTATATTTTAAGCCAAAAGTCAAAAGCAATTTATCGCTTAACATTTTTTGTAAATTAATTGCTCAGTTATTTTGTTTTAAAAAAACATGTGAATCACTCTTTACCAAGTAGTACAAATATGTCGTTATGTCTTGTTTTGTCAGTTAAAGGTCCCATGTCATGCTTTTCCGGTTATCACCCGTCCCCTTGTGTTATGTAGCTTTTTCTGCATGTAAACGGTCTGCAGAGTCAAAAACCCTCAAAGTACACCCTGTAGCGAGTAAAACTCTAACACAGAGAAGACCTGTCTATGCTGCCCCAGAACGCCTCGTTGGACATTTCTCTTTTTCCATTGTTTACTTCCTGAGTATAGTGATATAGTGTTTAGGACAGAGAGTGAATACACAGAGATGCTGTATGAGAAACCAATGTGAGTTTGGAACATTGATCAATATAAATCTATTCTAGTAGACCTCAACAATGGAATTATGATCAGTAGAAATGGCCATGACATGGGACCTTTTAAACTAGAAGGAAAATACAAAGAAATTGTTCACATGTGAGAATCTAATGATGACATGTTTTTACTGAAAGGATTACTCAAAACAATAAGCAATTATAGAAACAGCTGGTCAATCATTTTAAAGTTGACAATGAATCAACTAATAATCACCCTTACTTATATACTGATAACAATACTAATAATAACATTACGTTTTGTGGGACTATGTTTTTCGTAAAAGCTTAGCAGCACAACTATTGGTGGATTGCTGCACTGGTTTTCTCATCCTAACATTGAAGTCTTAAATGCTTGATTCATAAAAAACAATCAATATTTGTAGTTTCATTTTTAGCTGTAATTACTCAGATTATAAATGTATATGGATTATACTTGGTCATTTATTCACCATGCCTCTACTTTTTTTTCTTCTCAAAAGTGACTTTGGCAGTTGAACCACAGGCAGAAATGGCCACAGACCCAGGATCAGATTCCTTGTCTGTACCTCTCTCCTCCGGCCTGACTCCTGCTCTCTCCTCCAGCCTGACTCCTGCTCTCTCCTCCAGCCTGACTCCTCCTCTCTCCTCCGGCCTGACTCCTGCTCTCTCCTCCGGCCTGACTCCTCCTCTCTCCTCCGGCCTGACTCCTGCTCTCTCCTCCGGCCTGACTCCTCCTCTCTCCTCCGGCCTGACTCCTGCTCTCTCCTCCGGCCTGACTCCTGCTCTCTCCTCCGGCCTGACTCCTGCTCTCTCCTCCGGCCTGACTCCTCCTCTCTCCTCCGGCCTGACTCCTGCTCTCTCCTCCGGCCTGACTCCTGCTCTCTCCTCCGGCCTGACTCCTGCTCTCTCCTCCGGCCTGACTCCTGCTCTCTCCTCCGGCCTGACTCCTGCTCTCTCCTCCGGCCTGACTCCTGCTCTCTCCTCCGGCCTGACTCCTGCTCTCTCCTCCGGCCTGACTCCCTCTCTCCTCCGGCCTGACTCCTGCTCTCTCCCGGCCTGACTCCTGCTCTCTCCTCCGGCCTGACTCCTGCTCTCTCCTCCGGCCTGACTCCTCCTCTCTCCTCCGGCCTGACTCCTGCTCTCTCCTCCGGCCTGACTCCTGCTCTCTCCTCCGGCCTGACTCCTGCTCTCTCCTCCGGCCTGACTCCTCCTCTCTCCTCCGGCCTGACTCCTCCTCTCTCCTCCGGCCTGACTCCTCCTCTCTCCAAAAAAAAAGCCAAGGATACAGGTGCCTGCGCTCAGTCAGGACAAAACTGATCAACTGGCTCAAAGTTATTGGCCTTGAAAATATTTCGCCAACAATATATACATATGAAACGCTCTCACACACACACACCATATGAAAGGTTCCAGGATAATAGATCAACTCAGTGAAAGCACCGCCTGGTGACCAATCAGAGCTCAGTGTGCAGAGTCGACGTTCGCTACACACGGGCCTCATCATATAACTTTGCGTGGGGCCACAAGTTGGCCAGGGGGTGCATGCAGAAGTATTATTTTAAGCAACAACATTAATGATCTTAGATTTATTTTTCTGATAGAAAGGGACACCTAGTGGTTAAAGCACGTTATTGAATTGTATTTTTTCACAAAAATGAAACCATCAATAGCAAAAACTGAATTAACTGTCATTAGTAAACCACTCAAATAAAAAGATCATAAGTGGTTTTGTTTTACATATATTTTAAGGATAATAATAGCAATGTAATTATGTGTCTATGACACTTATAACACTGATTTGAAAAACATACAGAAACAATTAATTCACTGCCCTTAATAAAGTATTTAAATATACATTTCAGGTGTGCTGTTTTGTTAAGTAATGGATATTGAATATGGAATAAAGGTTTGACAAGACCTGGGGTAACAATAATCAAAAAGGACATTAAAAGAGCTCCAGATGTTAATTATCTGTTTTTGCAAAAATAAAGTACACAAAGTTGATTCTCGACTCTTTAAACACAGGTGATTGTATTCTTGTAAAAGTAACAATAACAAGCTCCATTTTCTATCTCCAGTCCGACTCATATTCATATGCAATGTGTTTGGTTCTATGCAAACTCAGTAATATCCATTGTGATACAGTTATAAGGCCTTCACATGAGACTGTCAGTGGAAATTAAAGGAGATCAGGAGCTCACGTCTTCTCAGAGTCATCATCATCATCATCATCATGTTCTGCTGCTGCTGCTGCTGCTGCTGTGCTGCTGCTGCTGCTGGCAGCTGGAAGTGAGTCAACACTTATTATACTGCTGTTTAACAGGATAATCTGTCATATAACATTTTTTTTATTTGTACAGGTGTGAAGTGTGAACAGTTGACACAGCCTCTGTGACTGTGCAGCCAGGTCAACGTCTGACCATCACCTGTCAGGTCTCTTATTCTGTTTAATAATAATAATAATAAAATTCAATAACGTGCTTTAACCACTAGGTGTCCCTTTCTATCAGCTGTGCACGTTATGGTGTAAATACAGCCTATCTACCAATTGGATCAAATATAAAAGTCAGCCGAATTAGTGTTGATACTGCAAGGAGACGTATTGTGTGAAAATAAATCTAAGATGTTGTTTAATTGCTGATATATGTATGATCCACTTCACGTTTTCAGTTTTGGCAGCAGTTCTCCTGTTTGTCTAGAAGTCTTCTCATCAGGGCTGTATAAATAGAGAACTACGGCAGATATGTAATATTTAATGCAGCCGAACCGTGTATTACAATGCCGTTATGTGATGACTTTCAAAGAGAAAAGCAAGCACACTCAGAATAAAGTATTATTTTAATGTTTTCGGATTTCACATCGCATAAACACCATTTCCCAACGTGCATTGCGGCTAAACCATCGAATCACCGAGCTGAGGTCTGTTTCCGGTATTGTTTTTGACAGATGTATTTTGTTATACACACACTTCCTTCACATTTAAATTTACATTAAAGTATTTCGTGAGGCCATATAAAATTTTTAAATATGACTACTGTTCGAGTTGAAGAGTTTGAAATTAACATGAACCGAAGCTGTGTTGCCTGGTAACACAAACGCACAACGTCACGTCCGTTAATTCCACATCCACAGATTAACATCGATTTAATAAATTAATGTAGCCTTTGTTTCTGCTAAAAGAGGTGTCGACCAGCAAATCAAGAAAATCGGCGAAATCGAGTGTGACTATTACAAATTAAATCATTATTTTATAATATTGATAATAATAACAACCGACCGTCCGGTGGGTAGCATTTGCTTGGCATTTCCGGGTATATCTCCACTGGTTGGGCCATGTTAACAATACTGTGTAATTGTCACGTTTGAAGGGACAACATCGTGACATCTTCACGTCTCCCAGCATGGTAAATCGTCACATGTTCACGTCTTGCCTTGATACCGGTGTTGTGCTGACCATGTCCATGCCTTTATGACAACAGTGTACCAATCTTCTGATGGCTACTTCCAGCAGGATAACTCACCGTGTCACAAAGCTCAAATATTCTCCAACTGGTTTTGAACATGACAATGACTTTTACTCAAATGGCCTCCAGTCACCAGATCCAAATCCTACAGAGCACCATTGGGATATGGTGGAACCAGAGATTTGCGTCATGGATGTGCAGCTGACAAATCTGCAGCAACTGCGTGATGCGATCAGGTCAATATTGAGCAAAATCTCTGAGGAATGTTTCCAGTAGCCTACCTTGTGTAATCTATGCAATGAAGACTTAATGCAGTTCTGAAAGCAGATGGGGGTCCAACCCATCTAGCAAGGTGTACCTAATTAAGTGGCCGGTGAGTGTATTACTTAGGTCCATTTGTATTTTAGTGTGTGTCTGTAGGAGTAAAGTCTAGACACATTCTTTGGATGTAAGCATTGGTTAATTAAACAGATCATGATAATAAGGGTAATCACCAAAACCTTATACCAGGGGTGGGGAACCTCCGGCCCTCGAGGTAACTCGGATCCGAAGGTGACTGAAACTGCTAATGGCATTTAGTTGAATACCAGACATAGTAAATGCAAAGCAGGATAATACAAAAAAAAGGTAATAAACAAGCCATTAAATCGTAATACTCGTTTTAATACGTTCACATGCATACAACACAATACAATAGACTTGTTAAGTCCTGTTCGTTGTCCTGTTTGTTGTCCTCATCACCTTCCTGTTTGTTGTCCTCATCACCGTCGTGTTCGTTGTCCTCATCACCGTCCTGTTCGTTGTCCTCATCACCGTCCTGTTCGTTGTCCTCATCACCGTCTTCAATGTCTTCCTCCATCATGAGAAAAGACGAGTCCGTGCCAATACAGCTGTAGGTGCTGGTGACTCTGCTCAGTTTCTGCTCCAGAAGATATTGATGGTGTAAAAGACAGCAGTGCAGTCCCCTGTATCCCTCTTCTGTTATATCGCTTGGAGAAACTAAAATAAAAAGACAAAATGACAGTCTATGTAAGGCAACTTTTAATTAGCATTGATGTTGGTTCCATATAAGCAATTTTAATGTTTAACTCCGAGGCTGTATATTAGCTAAAAAGATTTGTGATTCAGAAAAAATGCAATCATTACAGATGCTATTCAGTGACAGACGTTTGACACTGACCAGAAGGGGCAGTGGCAAATGTTATAAATCGGTATTTGTGGAACATACTTTGGTTCCTGATGTCGTCTTTTGTCTGATGAAGGAGGTGGTCCAGTTTGTCCAGTGCCTGCCTCAGATTTTGACAATGCTGGGTCATCTCCTTCACAATGATGACTTTCTCTCCTACGCCCTGACCAGCATAACCTGGTCAAAAAGTCGCCTCTTTGTGCGCAGGTTCACCACTATAATGGAAAAAACACAAAATATGACAACACAAACACAATGGTAAGGCTAATAAAACAAATAATATCCGTTTGCATTCAATCTTTTTAACTTAAATTGCCCAAAACCTTGAAATCTGGTAAAAAATGTCCAACCTCGCCGCTTGCTGAATTTTTTCAATTCTGTCTATGTTGGCAGAATTACATTCAGTATGTCTTGAGATTCAACATTAGTATGCAGTTCAGGGTGGTCAGGAAGGGTTTTACTGTTTCCATAGATGTGCCTGTCCCAGTGAGACTATAGCATGACTATTAAGACTTGATAGGGCAACATCATACAGACCTTTCAATATAATTATTTCAAAATGCTTTGTTGTGATCATGATGATTTGTGACACCTATGTTGACAGCTCTGTGTTACATTGGTGATTGTATTCTAGTACTACAACTGCATTTATTGAATATCTAGGGCAAACAAAAACAAGTTGTTTCTTACCATCTCCTTGCCCTCCCAGGGCAGAATGACATCCTCAGACAGACTGCATGCTGCTTCTGTGTCAATTGTCTCTGTACAGGTATCAATGGTGTTGTACTGCAGTATCCTCTCTCTGAGTTTATTCTTGAGCTCTGTCAGTCTTCTCCGTTTGCGTTGCCTTGTTTGGTTGCTGTCTGTAAAGTAAAAATAATAATAATACTAACAATAACAACAACAAGAAACAAATATTGTTTCTAGATAACGTAATAATAAATACCATTTTGTCGATAGAGGTCGTGTTTCTTTCTTCGGAGGGAATAAATAATGTCATCTATTTCTCTCTGGAGCTCCTCCTGGCTGCTCTGGCCTCCATGTTTCTCTTGAAAACAGAAACAACCAGGTATAATCATAAAACATGAAGCCAAATGTTTGGAAATATGGAACCAAATCTATACCACAGTGATCATATAACATACCAGTGGCTGCCCATTGCTTGACCTCCAACACCCACTGCTCCGTGTCCTCCAGGGAGATGTTCAGCTCTTGCTTGAGACTCTCAAGATTGTCCACTTCAGTTTGTGCTCTCTGTGTAGTCTGGTTAGAATGTTTAAAAGCAGAAAGTGAATATGCGTTCCAGTTGGTTGAGAAGGTTGTTTTTTACTGAATTCCTTTATGAACATTAACTGACCAGACAACAACATGAAATGCTAAACACCTTCTCTTCAAGGTTGGCAAGTATCACCTTAGAGTCCCTTTTCTTTTTTTTAAAAGATCAAGCAGGATTAACATGATTATTATTATACAGAAATTCAGATGAATCAACCTATAGTGCTTAATTACAAACAACAGAACAGAGACTCTCTTGGCAGAGCAGTGTGCTATGGCAGCACCATCATAATGAAATTATTGCAGAATATATTTTATTCAACAACATGTAGCTAAGGATGGTGTTAAATTACTACAACAAGAAACTCAGATATTCTTAATGTACATTTTGAAATGCAGCATGGACGTCTTACTTTGACAAATCTCTTTGAGAGTGTCTTGTGGAGATTCTCCACCTTCCTGTGGTTCCATAGCATAGCCAGCACGGTTATCATATCTGCTCTAGCTGTAAACACAAAAACATGAGAATTCACATCAGCTTTACAATGTGGCACTGCTTAAAACAATTTGTTTTCCTCTACCAACCTGATTTGGTCATGTATTTTGTTGTCAGAGCTGCCCTTGAGAGGAAGCTGTTAACCTGTTCCACTTCCTCGCCAACAGTATTTCCAGCACCTTCCTGGCTTCTGCCACCCCACTTCACCTGCTCAGAATCATAAACAATGAGATCTAGATATTTAGTTCAATATTATAATTTCTTGTACTGTACATCTTTAGTTAACATCAGTGTCAGGAGAAATTTCAGAAAGTTAAAATGTTCTGAGATTGAATTATGCTTTGAACTACAATGTCACAACTGCAGTTATTTGAAGCTCTGTTCATTCATTATTTCTACAGTGCGGATATATTTACTAAAACAACATAATGGGTTTTGGAAGCCTATCCTTGTGACAGTCTGTTTTGTAACAATTTTGTCAACATTTGTAACTATTACAATTATTCCACAGGCTTGAATAGAATATACTACATGATATTCTTATGTGCACTACAATTTCTAAAACATTTGAATCTAGTCACACAAATGTTTAACTTGCATACTGTACCTCGCATTTGCCTGTGTGGGCCTTGGCGTGCATTACAGAGAGAAAAGGTTTCATCTCTGTAAGTGGTTGGAGCTCCAAATAAGGCCAGTACCTGTAATGACAAAATCAATTGGCTTTTCCAGTTGCATGATGGCATAATAGTAAAAAGATAAATCAGGTCCTTAAAATTACCAGTACAATCCTTGTAACCAACATCAGCATTTATCCAAATGAATGCTTTTTTGCTTTACATCTACTGGATGTGCAAGAATTAAATAGATAACACGTTTCACACAAACACTTTGCATTTTGCAATAGTTATAACTACCTGCAGGCAACATCCATACAAAAGAATGTTGCATTCGCAACTTCAGCCAGCTCCTTCTGCAGGAACATTGGGTAGGCATATATTTCACCACGGTAGTGATTTAGGCCTTGTAGCAAGATGCCATGTCTGCACACAGCTATTTGCAGGCCTTCCTCGTCCACCTTGGCCCTGGACTTGTGTGAGGTTTCTCTGCAAGCTGTGAATGTTGCCGGTCCACAAACATCACGACCACTTTTCTGAAATAGACACAATCTGTTACATTTAACCCTGTGCTAAGTAAAATAAATAAAAGGGTTAGTGGGTTGAATAGATTCTTACAATCGTCATCTGGCTCCTGATTTTGTCGACAAAGGCAGACACTTTACTGTCCTGGGCAATGAACAGTCCATCAAATAGAGACGGTTCATCTGTCCTGCGAAATTCGAGAAAGAAATTGTAAGCAACATTATCATACATACATAAGTTTGATTGTGTCCTCTATTTAATGTGGGCAATTTGCTTTTGCTATCAATTTTTCATAAATGTGGAAAAGGCCTTTGTGAATTTGATCTGTAATTTTGTGTAAAGCCTTTTGTCACCATTATTTAACATTAGTGAAAAGTTTACTGACTTCTTGTAGAAAGGTACAAATAAAAGTACATCCTTTATATTGCTGGGCATGGAATAGGGCAGAGGAAGGCAGAGAAAAAGGTTCCTGGACAATTTAATACATTTATCATGAAGCGATTATATCCAAAGCTGGTTCTTAGCTCCAACATATCCAACTAACGTCAACCATAACCATTTAACATTTTAAAGAGCTAACTTTACAGGCGTCATATACAATAATGTTTATGAATTGGATTGATATAATTATGTGTAATTACAAACCAACTATTGTTTTCTGATGGTCTACAAACTTTGGAAAATAAAAATAAATAAAAAATTGGAAAGTTGGGGAAAGTTAAACATTTCAGCAAAGACATTCAGCTTAGTCAATAAAACAACAACTAAAATGAGAATATGATTTCACTGACCCTCTGGACTTCTTGAAGCGATAATGCTTTCTATTGCCATCTACAGCAATAGCCAGCATGTCAGGTGTGCATGCTGGGCATTTAAAGGGCTCCACCAGGCACAGATCTTCTTGTCTGTAATTACAGAAGGCAAACTCCCGAAAGACTCTGTGGAGGTATCGCTACAGATTCTGCCTGTCTGGAAACAAGAATGGTATTCATTTTGTTAATTCAAAGTTTGGTATTCAAAAATCTTGAAAACCACATTTTATTCTTACCCTTCCTGTGGAAAACGATCGATGTTCAAGCATTTTTATAAATACTTGCTGGGATAATGCTGGGCTGGCCAATTTCATTTGCTCGAATGATGTGAACACATCAAACTTAAAAATAATTTTGCAGCTGTCGGTTGCTGGCCAGTATTTGTATCCAAGCAAGTCACCTATGCTCGGGGACCATTTGGTGGAACAAGTTGGACAGCACACAGAAGGCAGGCAAACGTTGTATGGACCTGAGAAAAAATATAAATGTGCAATTTGACAGGTATCTATGCAACGCAGGACAAAAGTATAATAGTAATCCTGTATTTTTGCTTGACCACATCGTCTTCTGGTGGCAACAAACCATTGATAGTCACCAACACGGTCTGCTTTCCTGGGATGATGGTGAAATCTTGGCTTGGACCACAGAAGCAGATTTGGGATGGTGGAGGAATTGGAAGCAGACACACTGTAGCAAAGACAATTTCAGAGATTCATATGCATGTTAGGACATGTAGTCAATACAAATTGAGACATTTGAATAGTTAAAGCAAACTTCCGACATGGTGAAAATGATGCCGCTGTATATGTAGTGCACATTAGGAAACCATGGTAAGGGAATATGTAATAAACTATTTGAACCCACCTTGTTCACAGAGTCCATATTGGCCACTTTCATCCACAACCACTAAGGATGTGGGAGGAATAGGTCTGTAAAACCCATCAATCATGGCTTCCCTGTCATGGAAGACATTTTTGCCATGGATAATTGGGTCACATGCCGGACAAAGAAAGGGAGTTCCTGGTGGAACACAGTCCAAGCACCGGACCACAGCATCAGCAGTTTTGCATTGGAGACAGGAACGTTTAGTGACAATCTCTGCAGCCAATTTCAAATTAAGGAGCTCTGGCATTGCAGCTCTGAATTTTTGTTCACGTTTCAACTGTCTTTGGGTCCATGTTGTTACAGTGGGTGTTTCTTCTGATGATGCAGGGACAGTGAGAGAACCCAACAGGTTTCTCAGTGTGAGAAGATGTTGATCTAAAATAACAAAATATAAAACAAATCATGGAATTTAGTTTAATTAAAAAAAGATATTCCATACTTATACATATTTGGGTCGGAAAACAATCGACCTATTTGGTCGTATTAGTTGGAGGACTTGTGATGGCTTTTCACTTTAAAATGTATCATGAACACAGCTATTACATACTATAAACAATTAGCTACATTTCAAGTTGAAGGATAATTTAAGAATTCATT